CTTCAAATGCTAGACCATCGTGCCAGGCCCAGCTTTGTGCACTATGAGCTATCCAACCAGTAAGATATGTATCCTACTGTTAGGGTCCAAAATTGCCCCTCTGTTGGATAGCAAAGAACCAGACATGGATGCAATCAGCAAGCAGAGTTTATTGAGCTGGCTAGCCAGGGTCAAGCTCTTCACACGACATGCAGGACCGGTGGATGAAGCAAGACCGTGAGCTAGGGACAAGCCAGATTCTTATAGGCCAGTTTGGCCGTTACAGCAAAGCCCGCGCCCACGAAAAGCACTCCAATCATTTTAAAGCAAATATGAAACACTCCAATCAACTAAAAGCCCGCGAAATGCCTCAAGTCTCTATTCATCATGACAAGACAAAACTGTTCTAAGCTAAGGGGTTACAGATGCAAAGCAATAGGTAACATATCTGTGAAATACAGACCATGGGGCTATTTTACCCTTATCAGGGCCACTGACCCTTACTTACATCCTGAGCCTGGGTGCGGGGGACAATGGGCTCTTGCTCTTACTCTTATCAGTGCCTGCAAAAGACCCACTGACCCTCACAGCCTAAGCCTGGGAGTGTGGCCCAAGTTATTTGTAGAAACTTCTTTTTACTTTAAATTCAAGTTGCTTTTGACTTACTCAACCCACTTCTAATATATAGACCTTTTAACATCTTGGTTGCCTCTAACACCTACCTAGTAAGGAACAACAGAACCAAGCAAACATGTCCTTCAAATTCTATTTATGGAAAACAATTTGGGTCAATCAATTTGCTGCCTGGACTGTGAAAGAAAAGCAAGATCTCCTCCTGCAGTGAGATACCATCCTGTGCCATGGACTCATTCCCCTTCCAAGAACCAAAGACCATGGCAAACATCAGGTTAAGGATGTGTCCCAGACATGCTTCAGAAGACCCAGCCTTACTGTTGTCATTTTCTGTTGTCTGGGCTGTCACAGGAGAAGGACCCGAGTCCTTGTGCACCCATGTGGGAGAGGCTCCTGGCTCCCAGCTTTGCCGCCTAGCTCTGGCCATTGTGGCCATTTGGGGTGTGAACCAGCAGTTGGAAGATCTCTGTTTTCTCTCTTCCAAATAAAAACAAATAAATCTTTACAAAATACACATATACACTCTTTGTGAACAAAAACAACAACAAAGATGCGAGGATTAAAACCATCTGTAGGGCCTGATACAATAGCCTCGGGGCTAAAGTCCTCACCTTGCATGCACTGGGATTCCATATGGGCACTGGTTTATGTCTCAGCTGTGTCACTTTTCTTCTAGTTCCCTGCTTGTGGCCTGGGAAAGCAGTCAAGGATGGCCCAAAGTACCCACGTGGGAGACCCTGAAGAGGCTCCTGGCTTTGTATTGGCTCAGCTCCAGCCTTTGTAGCCACTTGGAAAGTAAACTAGCAGATGGAAGATCTTTGTCTCTATTTCTCCTTCTCTCTGTAAATCTGCCTCTTCAATAAAAATAAATAAATCCTTAAAAAGTGTCTATTTACTCATTATCCCTACAGAACTAATGTTGATCCTTTATGTTCTCTTTCTGTATAGACTGACATGTATCTACATATCATAACTTGGTTTTTTTTAAGATTTATTTTTATTATTTTTTTATTGGAAAGGCAGATATACAGAGAGGAGAGACAGAGAGGAAGATCTTCCGTCCGATGATTCACTCCCCAAGTGAGTGCAACGCCGATACTATGCGGTCCGAAGCCAGGAGCCTCTTCTGGGTCTCCCACGTGGATGCAGGGTCCCAAAGATTTGGGCCGTCCTCGACTGCTTTCCCAGGCCACAGGCAGGGAGCTGGAAGGGAAGCGGGGCTGCCGGGATTAGAACCGGCGCCCATATGGGATCCTGGGCGTGCAAGGCGAGGACCTTAACCACTTGCGCCACCGCACCGGGCCCCATAACTTGTTTTAATGAAATGCACAGCCAAGAGAGAACCAGGAACCAACCAGAAAGCCAAGCAAGTTGGCAAATATCTGACTGTGGAAGGTTGTAGTCATTTTTAAACTGTGCCTACTGGTGCGTTAGTGTCGTTAATGTTTGTGCTCTGTCTCTACATTCCAGAGCAAACCAAAAAATTTTTAGTAACTTTTTAAAGTTTAAAATAACAATGTCTCTTAATACCATTGAATCAATTGGCTATGGATGTGTCTATTTGCTTCAGTGGCTATGTTTCCTACTAAGGATGTTACACCTTTGTCAGTGAGGTCCAACTGGTTAGCTTGTTCCACAGTGTTTCCCAGTGCACTGCTGGAACTCCTCAGAGCAGGACCTAGTGAGGATGATATACAAGCACTAGGATAGTATCTGTCCCTTTAGTTCTAAATGTTTTCTCAATACGAATACTGAGGTTTACTAGTTATCTTTTGGTTAAGGATTAACTCAGCTGCACAGAGACCAGAGGCTGTGGTTGCACCATCAGTCATTAGGAATGTGGAGACTTGCTTTGCGGTCTTATATGTTCTATGTTTGTAAGCCTTTTCCAGATTCTGAAGAGGAATGTGTGTTTTGCAGCTGGTGGAGCAATGTTCTACACAGATAAGATGAAGCTTGATAATCGTGGTACTTAACTCTGACAGTCCCTTCCCTGAAGGACTTCTGAGCTCTGCTTGACCTGTTTCCCCGAGGCTGCTATCACAAATGGCCGCAGGGGGGGCTCCATGCAACCCAAGTGTGTTCTTGCTCAGTTCTGAAAGCTGTAAATCTGGTTAAGGTGTCAGCAGCGTCATGTGCCCTCTGGAGGCTCCAGGAGAAAATGCAGCACTGGTCAACACTTCTGAGTGGGTGTTGGGGGCGGGGCCCTTGGTTCATAGGCATCACCCCCAGCTTTGCCTCTGTGGACACTTTTTCTTTCTTGGTGTCTTCTCACATTTCTTCTTCTGCTTTTTTCTTACAAGGGCACTTGTCATTGGATTGATCCAGACAATCCAGAATGAGCTGATCTCAACAACTCTGCCCCCTCCCGCCCCGCCCCCCTCCCGTCCGTCCCCAATGAGACCCCATTCACACATTTAAGGGCTAGGACACGGATATACATTTCAGGGGCATCACGCATTGCAATGTTAGTGTGTGTGCAATGATGTGACAAATCACCAGCTCTGAGGGCAGATGGCTCCTTGTATTTCCGTCATTTCTTTGTGTATTTCCAGCCATCCATGTTATTAGGGTCTCACATGTGATTTCCCTGTGTCCTGAACTTCTGTTATGTAGAGACATCTCCTCATCCCTAGTCACTCCTCATCCCTCCTGCCACCTGGAGTCTTTTTTTTTTTTTAATATTTATTTTATTTTTATTACAAAGTCAGATATACAGAGAGGAGGAGAGGCAGAGAGCAAGATCTTCCATCTGATGATTCACTCCCCAAGTGACAGCAATGGTCAGAGCTGAGCCAAGCTGAAGCAGGAGCCAGTAGCTTCTTCCAGGTCTCCCACATGAGTGCAGAGTCCCAGAGTTTGGGGCCGTCCTTGACTGCTTTCCCAGGCCACAGGCAGGGAGCTGGATGGGAAGTGGGGCTGCCGGGACTAGAACCCATGCCCATATAGGATTCTGGCTCGTGCAAGGCGAGGACTTTAGCCATGAGGCCATTGCGCCAGACTTGGCAATCAGTTGTTTGAAAAAAAAATTTTTTTTTTGTCTTTCCCTTCCTTTTCTTTCTTTTGCTTCATATGGAATTCTCTCTCTCTCTCTCAACTTTTCTTTTTTAAAATTGGAAAGTCAGATTTTACAGAATGAAGGAGAGACAAAGATCCTCCATCTGTTGGTTCACCTCCGAAGTAGCTGCAATGGACAGAGCTGAACCGATCCGAGGAGCCAGGAGCTTCCTCCAGGTCTCCCACGTTGGTGCAGGGTCCCAAGGCTGTTCTCCACTGCTTTCCCGGGCCACAAGCAGGGAGCTGGATGGGAAGTGGAGCAGCCGGGATTAGAACCGGCACCCATATGGGATCCTGGCACGTGCAAGGTGAGGACTTTAGTTACTAGGCTACGTGCCCGGCTCTCAGATGGAATTCTAAAGTGATATGTTCTCCCCTCCCCCAGCATTTAGTGCAGTTCTAAAAATTTTTAGCTGCAAATATGTCAAAGGCAGAGAATTCAAAGCGTGCTGATTTGTTCAACGCCAGCTACACCGGGAATTAAATCGTCCCAAGTGATTAGTAAAAGCGTTCCACTAGCCTATGGTGCGGACGAAGTGGGAAAGCGCCCGAGAGGCGTCCGACACGCGTGGGTGCTGCATCCCCCAGCGGTAGTGACTTCGTGGTTCCCTTCACGTGGTGCTGTTCTAAAAATTTATCCCCATTCCCCCACGCCGCTCCTGCTGAGACTGAAGAACCCAAATGTGTTTGCGGAATGAATTATAACCGGCAAACATTTTCTCCTTCAGCTTTCGGTGCTTTCCCACACTAGAGCTTCAATTTTGGACACATTTGTGGGGAACCTGAGGACGCTTCATCATCCCTCTGAAGTTGCTACAGTTCTAGTTTTTGCGTGCAGGAATTATTAAGGGACTATAAAAGATATTCACGAATCCCGCAGACATATTTCTTTTTTGGCTTTGCGGGTCAGAGACCGGTGTCGACCCGGTCCCGTCGTTGATTATGACGACACTCGGACGCCAAGGTGGGGCGGCGAGGCACCGACTGCAGCCTCCTCCACAGCCGGCCGGATTCCCGTTGTCCTGGTAACCAGGTTACGAACGCGCGTGCGCAGCCACACCGCATTATCACGTGAGGCCTCGCTAGGGTCGGAAGCCGTCGCGCGGCGCCCAGGCGGGCGTGCCCCGGCCCTGCGGCGTGAGGTGACGCGCTAGCGCCCGCCCCTCTGCGCCCGGCCAGCGCTCCGCTGCTCCCGCGCACCACGTGCCCCGCCGGCCGCGCCCCCAGCCCTCGCCGACGGCTGTGGGAAGCTGCCGTAAAATGTCGTGAAGGTGCCGCCGCCGCTTTGCGACTTGCCTCTCCCAGAGCGAGCGCCCGGGAGCGCCCACCGCCTTCGGCTGGAGCGCATCGGCCCGGCGCACTGCGAGAGGCCCCGCGCCCTTCTGCCTTCCTCGTCGCTCCCTTCCCGGCCCCGGCCATGTGAGGCCCAGGAGGCTGCGGTGCCCTGTGGCCCAGGGCTGAGACCGGGCGGCAGGTGCCTGTGAGGCGGACGGGTGCCGGGGGGTTGCCCAGCAGGATGGAGGAGAGCATGGAGGAGGAGGAGGGGGGCAGCTACGAGGCGATGATGGACGACCAGAACCACAACAACTGGGAGGCCGCCGTGGACGGCTTCCGGCAGCCTCCGCCACCCCCGCCGCCGCCGGCGTCGATCCCGGCCCCTGTGCGAGAGCCTCCGGGGGGACACCTGCTGGCGGTGCCCGCGGCCTCGGTGGACAGGAAAGGCCCCAAAGAGGGGCTCTCGATGGGGCCGCCGCCCGAGGCCAACGGGGTCATCATGATGTTGAAGAGCTGCGACACGGCCGCCACGGTGGCCAAGGCGGCGCCCGCCCCCAATCCCAGCTCCACCATCAACATCAACACCTCCACCTCCAAGTTCTGTGAGTCCGGCCTTCCCCCTCGGCCCCGGCCGCCTTCGCTTTTCTGCTCCCAATGCGCGCGCCGCGTCCACCCCGTCCACCCCAAGTCCACCTTGTCCACCCCCGGCGGGAGCAGCCCCGTTCTCTTTGTTTCGGGGCTCCTCCACTTCCCCCTTCCTGCCTCTTCGGGTGCCTGCTGCCCTGGCCAGCGATCACACAGCCCCCAGGTGCCCCTCAGACGCGATCCTGACCACCGCTGGCTGTCCCCCACGTTAGGAAGTGCTTCCTTTACTGCGCCCCCTCTCCACCCCCTAGAGTTGTGCCCAGGAAGGTGAGGGGGTGAAGAAGGCCGTCTGAGCTCCGTTAGGGGGACAGGCTCGTGTACGCAGCCGGGGTGGGCGCAGCGTGGCAGCTGTGCACCTGTGGTTTTAACTAGTGTGTGTTAACTTGGAAGTTAACGTGTAGAATATGCGTGGCCATCCCCCCGCCCCCCGTGTACACACCTTCCCCTCGGGCTGGGGAAGTGCCCGAGTTCCTTCCTATTGCAGTGGGGGCTGGGGCGCCCGGCTGGAGGCTGTTGCTGTGTAAGATCACTTTTTAGAGTCGGCAGTCCCAGGAAGCCACAGAGCAAGTGTCCAAACGCAAGGTTCATGTGCCTGGTGTGGACAGGAAGGTGTCACAGTGGGAGATGGTCCCCGGCTACGCTGTGGGCTTCTGTAGTGAGGCAAGAACCTGCTCTTAGAGGCAGTGTTGGTGCGGTGGGATGGTAAAATAATGGGGCCACCGGAGCTGGGTTTTCGTCACTGCAGGTTTCCAACAGGACCTGGTGCAACGATGGCGGTCTTATTTCTGTGTACTGTTATCAAGCTGTACCAGTAATGGTCCAGTTAGCTGTGCACAGAAGACTCCTGCTGTGGTTCAGATACATTCTCATAGTTCCAGCTTCACACAGATTTCTCTGTGTGTGTGTACAGCACACTTATCTTCAAATAATGCTTTAGTCATAGATGCGTAGAAATGGACTCATAGGATTTGTATGATTTGTCTCTGTTGTGTAGAAATGAAAATAATATTGATGTGGTAGAGTTTGTGCGTGGTAGGCTGTGTTTTGGGACTCCCATGTGGGTGCAGGGTCCCAAGCCTTTGGGCCATACTCGAATGCCTTCCCAGGCTACAATACAAGTAGGGAGCTGGATAGGAAGTGGAGCAGCCAGGACATGGACTGGCAGCCAGATGGAATTCCAGTGGGTGCAAAGCCAGGATTTAGCCACTAGGCTGTTGCGCTGGGCTCTATAAGATTCTTATTTATTTATTTTTAAGATTTATTTGTTTTTATTGGAAAGGCAGACATACAGAGAGAAAGATCTTCCATCTGATGGTTCACTCCCCAAGTGAGTGCAATGGCTGGAGCTGAGCCAATGCAAAGCCAGGAGCTTTTCTAGGTCTCCCACACGGGAGCAGGGTCCCAAGGCTTTGGGCTGTCCTTGACTGCTTTCCCAGGCCACAAGCAAGGAGCTGGATGGGAAGCGGGGCCGCCGGGATTAGAACCAGTGCCCATATGGGATCCCGGTGCATGCAAGGCGAGGACTTTAGCCACTACACTATCGTGCCAGGCCCCGTTTTTTTTCTTTTTCTTTTTTTTTAAAATCTGGCATTTGCAGTTAGAGTTTATTTTTCGTTCATTTGCATCATTTTTCCTTGATCACTTTTGTAAGATGGTCTGCCTAAATCTGTAAGAACAGTTGTTGGGCTTGACCAAGCCTTTTGTGCTCAGTCTCCGGTGGCTGTTTTTCGAACACTGAATGAGTTCTCAGCGCTGAAGCCAGCTTCCTTAGCACAGGGGTCTTTTAAAAAAGATATCAGGTATTCTTGGGTTATTTCCTACAATGTATAGCTTTGTTATTGTATTTACTTCTAGTTATCTTCATTAGCTGTTTATTGCTAGTTAGTAAGTGGTACCAATCTTAAAGCAAATTATCAAATTTCTTCAGTAAGTACTATTTGTGGTAGGTTTGGCTAATGAGTTTAGGGAAGGTGTCCAAGATTAGAGGCTTTTGTTTTAATTATAAATAGCATCACAGTGATTTTATGGCTTCAACTGTGATCATTCTTTAGTCTGTTAAGGAGATGAATTACATAAATGGATGGATGTTGACCCATGCTTTGTGTCCTAGAACCAATAACAATCCTACAGGTTCTGGAGGAGATGGCAAATTCGACTCTTAATCTAAACAGGGGCATACAAGAAATAAGTACAGGTCTGCTTCCACTTAACGTAGGAATGAAAATCTTACTCAAGACATTGCCTTCTCAAGCAGCAGTGTGTCACAGTTTGGTGCTCCGTGGAGTTTGTTCTAAGCTGGGGTCTTCGCTTACCTCTGAACAGCTCACTACAAGCATACCTGGACCCAGAGTTTTCGAAACACGAGGTTCTTGGGGCCCGGAGCGGTGGCGCAAGTGGTTAAGTCCTCGCCTTGCACGCCCAGGATCCCATATGGGCGCCGGTTCTGATCCCGGCAGCCCCGCTTCCATTCCAGCTCCCTGCCTGTGGCCTGGGAAGGCAGTCGAGGACAGCCCAAATCTTTGGGACCCTGCACCCGTGTGGGAGACCCGGAAGAGGCTCCTGGCTTTGGATTGGCATAGTATCGACCCGTTGCGCTCACTTGGGGAGTGAGTCATCGGACGGAAGATCTTCCTCTCTGTCTCTCCTCTCTGTATATCTGCCTTTCCAATAAAAAATAATAAAAATAAATCTTTGAAAAAAAAAACACTTCAGTTTACAAAATATGAGTTCAAACCATTTAATCTGATACTAACTGTTAAAGTTCATAGTTTTTTAAGAAGTTTCTTTTATGCTGGTTTTTTGTTTGTTTCTTTGTTTTTAAGATTTTATCTTTGTTGCAAAGGCAGATATACAGAGAGAAGGAAAGGCAGAGAGAAAGATCTTCCATCTGGTGGTTCACACTCTTAAGTGGCCGTGGGCTGGAGCTGAGCCGCAATGACTAGAGCTGGGTCAGGCAGAAACCAGGAGCCAGGAGCTTCATCCAGGTTCCCATGTGGGCAAAGGGCCCAAGCATTTGGACCATCTTCTCCTTTTCCAGGTATATTAGAAGGGAGCTGGAGGGACCCAGCGCAGTACCCTGGTACCTAAAGTCATCTCCTTGTGTGTCCCGGGATCCCATATGGATGCCAGTTCGTGTCCCGACTGCTCTACTTCCCATCCAGCTCCCTGCGTGTGGCCTAGGAAAGCAGTCAAGGGCGGCCCAAAGCCTTGGGACCCTGCACCCACATGGGAGACGTGGAGAAGGCTCCTGGCTGCGAATCAACTCAGCTTCGGCTGTTGTGACCACTTGGGGAGTGAACCAGCAGACAAAAGATGTTTCTCTCTCCTCTGTGTAAATCCGACTTTCTCCCTTCCCCCCAAAAATGAATTAAAAAAGAAAGTGGGGGAGCTGAATCAGAAGTGTAGCAGCTGGGACTCAAACTGGCACCCATATAAGGATGCTGGAATTACAGGTAGCTTAGTGCCCTGAGTCACAGTGTCATCCCCAAGGAGAAACATTTCGAAGCTGACTAAAGAACTAGGAATGAGTCTAAATAAATGGTGCGTGTTTTCATATTTCTGGTCATCAACTTGCTCATAGTTAGTCTCATCAAGTTACATTTGATTTATCTTGAGAAACTTGGTAATTGACATCTAAAACATCTGTGGCAGGTGGAATAAGTTTGCATATAACCAAAGCTAAAATATTTGTTTTGATGGAAGTTTGCCTTATCAGAATTCATGTTTCAAGGCTGTAGTAATAAAAACAGACAGACATATAAGAACAGAAAAGTAGGTGAAGGGGCCTGTGAGTGGGAACTGAAGATTCAGGTGGTGTAATCCACTGGAGAAGTCAGGTTAGAGTGGCTTGTTACCTGGAGGAGAAAAAAAAACCAGGGCCTCGGTGCGGTGGCCTAGCAGCTAAAGTCCTCGCCTTGAATGTGCCAGAATCCCACATGGGCACCAGTCTAATCCCAGCAGCCCCATTTCCAATCCACCTTGCTTCTTGTGGTCTGGGAAAGCAGTAGAGGACAGCCCAGAGCCTTAGGATCCTGCACCGGTGTGGGAGATCTGGAAGAGGCTTCAGGCTCCTGGCTTCGGATTGGCTCAACTCCAACCGTTGTAGTCACTTGGGCCGTGAACCATTGGACGGAAGATCTTCCTCTCTGTCTCTCTGCCTTTCTGCATATCTGACTTTGCAATAAAAATAAATGTCCTTTAAAAATACCATAAATAGGATGGAGTCTGAATTAAAGACATAATTGTGGACAGAGTTACTCTGAACAGAAAATAGTAAGGAAGCTCTTTGACTAGGGACAAGGAAGGACTTTCAGAGTTGGAAGCTTGTAAAGGTAAAGATTTAATGATTTTGATATAAAACATAAGTATTTTTATTCAGCAATTAACACGAAAGGATGAGAGGAGACAGTGCTACCTGCAATTTACAAGACATTAATTTGTAACTAGATAAGGTTCTTATATCAACAATACGAGGACAGTGGCCGCTGTAGAAAAATGGGCAGTGGCCATTAATAGGGCATTTACAGAATAGAAATCTTAACAAATTTTAAAAAGTGATGCAATTATTATTAATAATCAGGCAGATTAAGGAATGGAATGTCTTTTTTACTGGTTTGATTAACAGAACTAGAAAGCTAAATAATGCTAAGTGTCGTGGACATATGGAAATATAGGAGATTGTACTTTGTGGTAGGAATGGCAGCCTCCATGTTGACACCCTGAGGCTGTGAGAGGTGGCACCCAGCTAACTGCAGCTTTCCTGTAGCTCTGACAGTGAAGGTTTGTTGTGAACTACAGGGTAGACATAGCTTTTGGTGGTCTTTGTAATAGAGGAGGGCATTTGTTACCTTGGTGTATTCATAGCAGGTACCAGGTTGGGATTGATTTGCTGTGATGAATAGGGCTTATATGAACAGTAAGCCACTACAACAGGACTTACCTGAGTGTTTGGCTTTTT